TCAACCTCAATGGGTTATTTAATGCCAACAAGATGTTTAGGATAAGTTCGTATGAATAGGATATGTATTCTTTGTAAGAAATCAGTTTGTAGATCAGGTTTCATTGACATATTTTTGTAAAGAGGGTTTTTGTCAAGAGTCAACTGTATTGCTGGTAATATTGTTTTTTAAAAATGTATTGCTTGGTAATATATATATATATATATATATATATATATATATATATATTTCCCAAAATATATTGTTGGTATTTTCACTATAAAAATATATTTTTATACTTTCATATTATTTTGACCACAGTATGGGGATTATCTATTTGCCCATAGCTGGGACTCTAACAGGAGACAACAACAATTAAGAAGTGGTTCTACATTCCTAAAAACTATCCTGATTAGAGGCCTTGCTGCTAAATGTAGTTTATCATCATACCCAGGAAAAGAATAAATTTGGTGAAAAGATATGTATTTTATGCTTCATTCTATGTTTTTATATACTTGCACAACACAGTTTCTATCCACATGCAGGTGTTTTGTTCCCAGGATATGTTCTGGATTATTTTAATATCTTCTCCAAATCAATTATGTTTTTTAGCAATTCATGATTCAGGCTCAACAAAAAAGAAATGAAAAGACAAGAGTCAGATTAGACAAAAATAGAGTATTCTTCTTTCTATATCTTCATATATTCATATCACATTTCATTCAGTAGCCCTCATTCAGTAGCCCTCATTCAGTAGTCCTCTACAATGAGCCTTTTATTTGGTCAACTTTCTTAAAAATATTGTTAAATATAAAGAAATACATTATAGGTAAAGAAGTGTGTTTGAATATACATATCACTGATCTGATGAAGTTTTTTAGCATACAAAAAGAAAAGATATTTTTTATTTTTAATAGTATATTTAAAAAAAAAACAACTGTCAAAAGACGTAATTGTAAGTATAATTAATTTTTAAAATGGGAAATAAAAACAACAAAACTGTGTTTATTGAACTATGCTAATAATTTGAGCAATCACTATGTAATTACATTATTTTTCTCTTATGTGTTATGACCCTTCAGGATGTCTGCAATCATGACTCTCCTTACCCTTTGTAACTCTTAGCAATGTTTTGTTTTTTTTTTTTATTATTCTTCCCACTCTCTGTTCTGTCATCCATTTAGTTCATTTAGTAGGTTACTTGATGTTTTCCTCTTGCCTTCAGTATATCTTGTGAGTGCTAAATTTTCCAGTCCTTCTTTCTTCATTATCTGTCCCAAAAGTTTCAACTGTTGCTTTCTTATTCTAAGTGAAAGTATCCTGTCTGTTTCTATTTTCCTTACCTAGTGGTGCCCAGGCTCTCTTCATAGTATTCTTAGCATTCTTCTGTGGAACCACATCTTAATGTATAAGTCAGTGTGTATACAGTAATGTACTATAATGAATATAAAATTAATAATAACTCACTGATTATCAATGTTGTGGGGTTAAGGAAGAACCTATAAGTGGTTCTGGAAATACAATTAATCCAAAATTAATGAAACAATTTAATTTGTATTCTTCATTGTCTCCCTCACTTGATTAGTTCATCTATATGCAACAGAAACATCTTGAGTTGGCTGCATCTTGGTGTGATGAGAATTAGTATATTTGCTTCAAAGCTCCTACCTCACTCATTGCAGGTTTTTGAATAATTTCAACCTCTTCCAGAGGATTATCATCAGATGATTGCCTAAGAAACAACTACACATTCCATATACTCTGCTCTCTTAACAAACACTCATTTATACATAAGTTTAGCATTGTAAATACTAATAAGAACACAATAGTAAGTTTCTCATATATAAAATTCTTGTTTATTCATCTCTGGACTTTGTCAATTTTTATCAGTATGAAGCTGTCTTGGCTTTAGAGGTTTGCTTTGGATGAGGTTCTTCTCATAAGGATAACAAAGTTTATTATTTCCCATTCACATGGGCACATATATATCTTCCTGTCATCTTGTGTGTACATCCAAAATACAGCTGGTTTGATCACCTGTTTATGTGTCTGTACTTGTGAAGTACAGATCTGCACCTGGTGTCTATATGGTTCCATTCCAGGTCAACTCTCTGATACACTTGGTTTATTTGATGTCTTAGTATGACACTGAGTACAAGGTCTACTCCACAGATTAACTTCTGAGGTCAAAGTCTCCTTATTTTCATTAAATTTGATTTAAACTTACTCAAGGATTTACTAGTTTACTGATCTCTGATAGTTAATAGAAACAAAATGATAATTGCACATTTAGTTGGGCAAATTAGAGAGTTACTAATTTCAATGTGGCTTAAACCATGTGGGGAAAAACCTGAATTACAAAAGTAGCTAATTTGATATGGAATTGTTCAATAATGCTAACAGTAATTCATCCTTCTCCTCATCATTGATTTCAGTTGAGTTCACAACCCTGTGCCACACTTAACTGTCAACTACATAATCTTTTATAGGGTATTTACCTCAACAGCGCTACATTTTGTTTTGAATTCAGTATTGTCCTACTCCTAGAATGGCTACCAACAATGGTTAGAGAGTCCAGTTAGCCCTACCATTTAACCTATAGCAAGGGAAATATCCTTTCTCAAGGGTTTCTGTGAAAGTGAAGGTAATAAACACAGCTGAAATTCAAACATGGTTTGCCAATTTTTCTTTTCAGGCCACTCACTATTACAAAAAACAGACATTCATAAACTAAACAAAATGAAGAAAATATTTTTTAAAATTGTAATTTATCTGGCTGTTTTTTATCTTACAAATTCTCTGCGTTAAATTTTATATTTGAAATTATAAAATTATTTACAGGCTGAATATTTTCCATTAATAATTTTATATTTTTGTTAAAATTTTATGCTGAGTGTATTCATACATTATGAATATTCTGATGTATGTAGACTATTATAAATAGTATCATATGAATAATCTCAAATATAAAATAATTTAAATAGGATATTTTCACTTATAGTTTATTTGCAATTCAATGCTTCTAAGAAAATACAATTATTTCTTCCAGACAAGCATAGTATCAATGTCATATCTATTTCTAAAACTATCATTCCTTGTAAGTATTTATATTACAGATTAACCATCCAAATGAACAAGGGCTCTTTTGTAGACATATCTTGTTAATCATTACTTTCGACAGAAATAGTTAAAATGAGATTTATTAACATACAGTTATTTTGAATTATTGGAAACTATTATTTATTTAATTGTTTAAATTAAACTAATTTTATTTTTAAGTACGAAATAATTCTCCATTAATCCTTTCTTCTGACTGTAACTTATTTCTTTTATGATTTCACTTTTTTAAATTTTTACCTTACCTTGTGGTGCCCATGCTCTGTCCATAGTATTACAGTAGAAATCAAATATTTTCTTAATTATATTAATGCAATAAATAAAATTAAGTGGTACACATTTCATAATAGTCCTCTCAGAAGCAGTGAATTTTTATTGCAATATTCTAATCATTTTGCACAACACTTAACAGCATCATTTGCAGACATTTGCATGAAGCTAAAATAGACAGATATATAGCTGGACAGATATCTACATAGACAGATATGTACCATAAAAATATTTTTTAAAAATAGATGAAGCTATAATTGACAAAGATATCATTTGCAAGTATTATTTTACATTAAAACCTTTGTAAACAAAATAAAAATGAATGATTAACAAGAAATATACTAATTCATTTTTATGTTTCTTTAAACATTTCTATTATTATTAACAGTAATTCTTTTATTTTACACCAAGATGGTAAATTTAATTGAATCAAAATTTTAAATTACTTTCGTGTTCATAGATAATGCCTATTTTTTCTATAAATCTTGATTTTTTTTAAAACTATGATGCACAGAATAATACAAGATATCACTAAAATAGCAAAGTTCTCTTCTTGCTATTATTTTCTTTCAATGACAAAAATATCTTTACCAGAGATTTGACAACCATGACTAAACATATGTATAAATCTATTTTTTATATAAAATTCATGAAAGGAAAAATGAAACAAACAAAAATAATCAAAATATGTTCCAAACTCATTCATTTATATAAAATAAATTATAAAACAGAAAAAAAATTAACAAATTTAATGCACCATGGAAAAGTTACATACAATTTACTCTTCCCTTTCAGGAGATGATAAAATAATAGAATCAATGTTGTTCATGGTTTATACAAAAATCTTTTCTGAGGGTAATGTGGACAAAACCTGCTGTTGAACTTAGGGAAGAAATATTTTAATCTTAAAATAATCAGCTCAATAGAGAAAAGAGAGATTCATCCCATTTGACAAATTTTAAATGAATCAAATTTCAGTCATTTTTTTTCTGTTGAAATATTGAATGCATGAAAAACTATTGTTCTCTTTTTAAAATATAGGAAATATTTTTTACATGAACAGCATAATGAAATAAATTATGCTAGTCTGTATTATTTACAAGTTTTGACATTATTTAACAGACAATGTTTTATTCTTGCAACACAGTAAAAATGACATTTTTTTAAATTTGTTCATTATAGTCAGTTAGATTAATCAAAAACAAACAGCAATAAATAATTATATCAAAATAAATAAACATTTCTGAAAATGATTCCATGTATTCTGTGTACTTATTTCTTTTCTTCAGAATTTATTACTTGAATAATTATTATTATTGTCTAAAATCATGTTTATTCATAAATTGCTGGGCATTTTAAGTACTAATAGTTATTAATAACAGAAGATTGAGTGAATTCATTAATTTTGTATGGTTTGTCAACCTTTTCCAGGTTATTTAAAGTCAGAAAATATTTTTAGATTGAATTTTTTTTAGATAAAAATGATTTACTAATTAACCCATAGTTGAGGAAGGAATGGTGAATTCATACCTTTCTCAAGGGTATTTGTACATAAGTGAATATATTGAACCCAACAGGAACTGGAACTTGGCACTCTAACAATTCCAAGCCATTACACCATCCATACATTCAAGCTTACAGGACCTGGTACTGCCAAGCAGTCACTCACTAGGTACTGACCACGCTCGACAGTGCTTAACTTCTGTGGTCATATGGGAACCAGTGCTTCAATGTGATGTGGCCGTAAGCAGGAGATTTTATTTAAAATGTGTTTTATATAGTAAATACCAAGATACAGAAATAGTTTCCATTCTTAAACAGCTGAAATTTATTTTTATACATTAGTTTTTCAATTATATTTTTCTCTTATATTGAATTAAAATTTAATTGACCAATATATAATTTAAAAAACTGATTAAATTATATATATATATATATATATATATATATATATATATATATATATATATATAAATATATATATATATATATATATATATATATATATATATATATATATATATAATTTTATATTAATAGCAACATTCTTTTTCAACATTAATAATAAATTTACTTGTGGATTATTAAATATTCCATAACAATTTTATTGGCTTGCAAAACAAAAGAATCTTTAGTAGAAAACTGAGATCAATTATGGTCAATAAAATCAAAAAGATTTTGTTTTATTATTTCTTTAAAATATATCTATTATAAATATGCAACAAATTTTAACTGTGAAATATGTAATGTTGTGGTGACAGCTTAACTATTGTTATTTTCTGTTCAAAATTAATTAAATTTCTATGAAAATTTAGACAAAAAACAATCCCATTAAAAAAATTATTATTTAGTTTTGAAACTGATTATCTAACACAAAGAAAACAGAAGTGAGTTAACATAATACAACACAGGATTCTTTTGTTTTTTATTTTTTTAAAATTTGTAGTATTATATTAATGATTATCAGTAGCTGCAGTGGCTAAAAATGCAGCCAAAATAAAGATTTTTCCTCATAAAATAATGGCCAATAATACTGACATCTTATACAACATTAAGTGCAAACAGATTCCAAATTTTGGGAAGCTCTTATAATATGATTTTTTAAAAAAAAGATTAAATAAGATATTCCTTAGTTTAGAAAATGAGGTTTTGAATATTTTCAATAATTAATTAAAAAGAAATAGAAATAAAAATCTAACAGAGGAATTTTTCAAAAGTAATGATATTTCCTTGGATTTATCCAATGACAATTCCAATGTCAAATTTTTAAACTATATCTTCTCTAACAAAAATAGCAATAAAATTTATATTCATTATCTTATCTTTTGAAAAAAAATATTTTGTTTCTGAGAATGAACAGAAAATGGACAAAAGCATAAGAACCAACAAACAAAAAAACATGGGCAATTTTTACAAAGTCATGAACCAACCATACCCTGCATTGGATGAAAACAAGAGAAACTACTTAAAAATAGTAACTAAGCATTTCTTGTCCATCATGATCAATAATACTTGTCTAAATTAAAAAATTTCTGCCCAAATATATAGAGGTGTAGTTGAAGTTGGTGCATACACTTGGATTATTTTTAGAGTCCATCTTTTGCTTTAAAGGCAGCAATGTTAAAGAAGTAACTGTTATAAACAATGTTAATATAGGAAACAATTATAAAATGGGAGTTTGAAGTATTAAAACCTTTGCACATGTAGATATACATCTACATAGCCTGTTTATAAAGAATACTGAAAACAGTGTAGTTGACTAAGCTTTTCTTGACACTATTTTCAATTGGGGAAGGGCTTAAAGAAGTCACTTCTGCATCTGATTTGCACAAGCTGAGCTTCAACGAGCTGCATGATGATGAAAAATTTTGATTTGCAACCAAAAGACTGATTCTACTTACTGCATCAAATTTTGTCAGGTTGACTAAAATGTTGTGCAACACTTGAATAATTGCCCATGGTTAAGTGTAATTCATAAAAATGTTCAACAAACAGAATTGACAAAGTTTCTAGTAAACAATAAAATGAAGAAAAGAACAAGACAAAATAATACTAAGGTATACAGTCAAGTAATTGAAGTAATCTAACTTCAAAACAAGAACAAAAATATGGTGGATGAGACCGAGAAATGGTCTATTTTTATTAGTTAGGAAGAATTCCCAGTATGCATCTGTACAATATGTTTATAAATTTGAGGAGAGGAAGTATTTAGCGATCATTCCAAAGATTGGAACCAACAACATTTTGTATATATCTTAAAGCATAGACCACGTCAGTTGGACCTTGGTTTGTTCTAAAATGGTGTTGAATTTCAAATGATCTGCAATGAATGTTAATCTCTAATCTGTTTACAAGTATTCTCATAAGGTTTTTCCTATAATCCAAAGCTGAGTGATACACTCTTAATTTGAGCAGTCTGAATTAGGTCCTTTATTTTTGTAAAGGGTTATAATGACTGTCTTTGAAGTCATAATTTCCAGAGCTATGTCACTAACAACTTGCCACATATTTTTTTAACTGTGTTGCCACCTCATCTAACTCAAGAATAGCTATTGATGGGTGGGGTTTTATTCAGACTACTGTGCTATGCAGCTTCTGCTGAAGACAGTATATACATGATTAAACTAGTAAGTTGTGATGAAACTTGTGTCAGAGCACTAAGTTGCCGACACAATATAGTAGGTTCAGTTAGAGATAGCAGCTTTGTCAGAGCTGAGGTTAGTGGGTATATCTACCACTCATTTGGCATAGTGAAGGGCATGACATATGAAGGGTTACCCCTTTGAGAGTAGATCAATCAGTTTTTAGTTGTTTTCATCAAGCTAGGCTTAATTTTTTCTTGAACATGTCCAGAGTTTTCTACAAAGGCTAATCCCAAACTGCAGCAATAGAATAGCCACTGATTAGTATTCCAAATTCTCTTGGATGTATTCTCTTGTATCTTCATCTTGTTATAATATATATATATATATATATATATATATATATAATCTGAATTGAAATTTAAAATGCTTACTCACTACTATAGTTTCACCAATTTGACATATCAAGCAGTAAGCATTTAGGAATAATTTTACCTTAGAAATCAATGAATACTTTTTATACCATGGAATATCTTAAAATGGCCAAATTATTAATCTAGTCCTAGATATCTTAGCAGATATTTTGTTTTATGCTTACAATTTAGCAGTATTTCACCACTTTTATTTATTTTTTTTATTTCTGGTTCGAAAGGTGGCTTTGAACAATTCCTTTTGACATCATCTCCAAAATACTTCACATGCATTATGATACTGTGGTTTTTAATGATATTCCATTTTATCAATTGGTGTATGTTTCTCTGTAACTTCATATATTATATTATATATATTAGAAGGAAAATTACTTGCTTTTCTGCAATTACATTTCACAGTCCTTCCTTCATATTTTTGTTCAGTACACTATTGTTTGTGTAATGGTCAGGTGACACCTGTCACACATATTGGTCCTTACCGGGCAAAGTGTTAATTCCTATAACCCATTTCATGCATTTAAGTTTCACAATGTGTATGTTATTTGCCATGATATTTCTTGTGATTAATAGTGGAGTTGTTTCCTGTTGCCTTCTCCATAGTGGTTTATGGAGACACCATCTCTAGTTAGCTGGCTATTGACTGATCGAGAGTTCTTTCAGGCAGTAAGCATTAAGGAACAATTTCTTTTGCCCTTTGTTAGTTCTTATTTTTCATCCTACTGGCTTGCTAACAAACTGCCTTGTTGGAGTGGGGTAACCAGTTTAATCACTGATATTCCGGCAGTAGAATACTTACCCTATATATATATATATATATATATGTGTGTGTGTGTGTGTGTGTATTTAAGAAAAAAATAGGATACCTCCCCACCACAATCTGTTTGCAAGTAAAAGGTTTGTGGTTCAGATTTAATGCAATACAGAAAACTGCACGACAATATAAGGACCAAATGCAGGCAGGCTAAAGAAGAGTAGGTAAACAAAAAAAATGTGCTGAAATAGAGAGATTGAGTACCACAGACAAAAGAGATATGCATAAACAAATAAAGGAAACTAACAAGACAGAATATGTGCTTGTCAAGAGGCTGCTTATAATCAAAGGATGGAATGCTCATATTAGAGAAAGAAAAAAAATTCTTCAGTGCTGGAATGAATATAATGGACAACTCTTCTATGATGAAAGAGAAAAACGGACAATACACAGAATTACCAATGGGCCTGAAATTCTAAAAGCTGAAGTAGAAGCTGCACTGGCCAAATTGAACAGAAACAAAGCAGCAGGGCCAGATGGAATTATTACAGAGATGCTGACAGCCTTAGATGATTTTGACATAGACAAGATTACAGAAATAATAATGAAATCTAAAACAGTGGGGATATACTGAAAGAACTCAGCTGATCTATTTTCATAGAACTGCCTAAGAAACTGAATGTGAACTCCATCAAACAATCAACCTAATGAACCACATAACAAAACTCATCATCTGTATTCTGATGAATAAAGCGCACAGAAGAATTAGGCCTGAGATAAGACAAGAACAGTGTGGGTTTGTTAAAGACACCAGAATTTTATCAGAACAAGCAATACACATGCAGAAAAAGACTACGCAAATGCATTTGACAAAGTAGACAACAAAGATCTGTTAGAGCTGCTCAGCAATCTTGAGATATTCAGGAATGACATTAGAATAATGAAAAACTTCTACTGGCAGCAAACCACCTGCATAAAGATAAAAAACAAAATGAGTTCAATAGATATACAAAAATGGAAAGGGCCGTAAGGCAAGTATGTGTTTTCTCACCAGACATATTCAACCTTAGCAGTAAGGTAATTCTGAGAAAACTGGAAATCCTACAAGGATTCATCATTGGTGGCCATAATCTTAAAAACATAAGATATGCAAATGACACAGTGCTGATAGCAGACACAGAAAGAAAACTACAAAAACTTCTACAGAGAGTGAGAAGAAGGGATTAAGCATAAAATACAAAAAGACAGAATGCATGGTCATCAGCAAAAAAATGAACCCAAAATATGATTTACAAGTCAGGGACACTAGCCTCAAGCAGCTGCAAAAATTTAACTATCTGGGAAATGTCCTGACAGAGGATGGTAAGTGTGATGCTGAGATCCAAAGATGTATTGAGATGGCCAAAGACACATTCCAAAAGATAAGCAGAGTATTACGTGACAGCAGAATTTCATCAGTAACAAAGAAAAGAGTACTGAACTG